TAATTTAGAGACTTTGTGACTATGAGAAAGTTTGTAACAGAATAAAAAGTAAAAGTAAAAATAAGAAATAATAAAAAATAAAAACGGAATTGGCATATTTCGGTCCGTTAAGTCGTATACATTCTCATATTTTTGGACAGTCTTTTTTTATAATTTTTCTAATCTTTCTGTTTTTATCCCTCTTTTGTTTGATCTATTTTTATCTTGTCTTTAGCATTTCCAGTGAAGAATGTGAACCAAATAGTAATCTGTTTGATTTTGAATCGGAAACGGAAAGTTCGCTGTTTGGCAAATTCATGTATTTGAGTTACAAAAGCCTTTGTAAAGCAAAAAGGGCAAAATTTACTAAAAAAGTGAGAAATGTTGCCTACTTCTTTTACATGGTGTATTTCAGTATTGTGCTTATTGCTCCGGACGGTGAAAAAAAGATGGTAGCGCTTGGAGCTGGTCGCCATGCCGTTATTGATGGTCAAATTCTGTCCAATGCACATGGTAATGTGCTGGTCCATATGCAAGGTATATATAATCAATGTTTTTTTTTTTTTTGCTCTAAATTTACAGGGAACAAGTTTGAACGACATTGGTAATCTTAGCAAGTTTATTTTGGTTGCATAATTTTGTATCAGCAATTTTTTGCTTATTGTTTCCTGTGAGTTTTGGCGTTTTGGCAAAACGCTAATATTAGACTTAATGGACCGAAACATTTCTTACCAATTATAATAATTTTAGTAATTTTGTGATTCTCATTTCCTGCCTTCCTTTCTTGTAGTTCTTATTTCAGTCGTTGTTAATGTATTTTTTTATTAGATCATTGGTTTAAAGTTCTGGTATTGGGTTGGGTTGAATAATTTCTCTGTCGATGGAGGGTTACCATTGTATTAATTTTACTAATTTTACAAATTTCTGATTTCCCAATTCTCATTTCTCGCCTTCCTTTTTGATTGTTCTTATTTCAGTCGTTGTTAATATACCTTTCTATTAAATCAATGGTTTAATTTTTTGCTAATGACTTGGATAATTTCTCTGTCGATAGCAGTTTTTCATCTGGTTTCAAAACCACTGTGAATATTCTGAGAGCAGTTCTTGGGAAGAGAGACCTTCGATAATATTACCCGCGAATGGTTGGTATTGGCGCTGTGCCAACAGTATGGTTCTGGGCGCATTTCGTAGGAAAATATGAATGATGGGAAGCTATTGTTTGAGAAGCCCGGGGAAGAATTGCTACATCGTTTTTAGTGAAAAAATTCAAGAAAATAGATTTGCATTTGTGTTCTGATTTTCTGGTTGCCATAAATTTTCGTTTCTGGAATAGTCCAAGAGCATTTTTAGGGGCTGTCTTGGCTCGTCGTGCATTTCTACTGTACTTGCACAATCAGA